TGTATGTGTATGTATGTATGTAGGTAGGTAGGTAGGTGGGTACGCGTATGTATGTATGTATGCATATACGCGTGTGTGTGGGGGGGGGAGGGGAAATAGAGAATAGGTTTGCGCTCCATAACTGCAAACCAGCGAAAGCCCGTCTCCAGCCAGACCCCCCCCACCCCACCCACACACTTCGACTCCCTTTTTTATACACAGCACACACACACATACACACACACACGCACACACACATACACACACTTTCCCCCTCCTGCACCCCACTCGCCTCAGGAGCTGCTGCTTCCCGACCCCTCCGCCGGTTTCCGGGTACTCCGCGCGGCATTGCGCGACGTGGACGACGAGGACATCTCCCGACACTTCGACGATGTTTGCAAGTTCATTCAGGCGAGCACGCGGTTTTTTTTTTTTTTTGTGTGTGTGTGTGTGTGTGTGAGAGAGTGTGTGTGTGTGTGTGAGAGAGTGTGTGTGAGAGAGTGTGTGTGTGTGTGAGAGAGTGTGTGTGGGTGTCTTGGGTTTTGCCTTAGGGTTACCTTTACCCCTATCCCCGTGGAACCTTAACCCCCCATCGGTGTGCTTCGGACGGCTTGCTGTCGACTGGGCGGTCGGGTGGCCGTCAGTGGTGTTCTTTGCACCGTCATCATCATCGTACGATTCCCCTCCACCCACCCAACCACCTCCGAAAACCCCACACAACACACCGCCCGGATTTTCTTCACCTCCCTCCAACTCCCCCAACCCCACATACATACGTACATACAACCAACCTCGCCTCGCAGTCCTGCCACGCCGCCGGCGGCAGTGTGTTGGTGCACTGCTCCGAGGGCAAGAGCCGCTCCGTAACCCTGGTGCTCGCCTACCTGATGAAGGGACGGGGATGGAGGCTCAAGGCCGCCTTCGACCACGTGAAGTGGGTGGTCTGGGTTGGGTGGTGGTGTGTGGGGTGTGAGGTGTGGGGAGGCCGGGAAGGGTGGGGGAAGCAGGGGGGGATGGCGGGATATACCACCACGCGGAGGGTTAGGTGGGTTGCGATGCGTGCGTATTTCGTGCCTGTGTGTCTGTGTCTGTTTGTATGTATGTATGTATGTGTATGTGTGTGTGTGTCATTGATCTGGGCGTGATGCTGACCAGAGGCGCCTAACAGAATCCCACACCAACCCCACCTACACGTGCCCCCGTCTTCGCCCCCTCGCTGTGTGCGTGTGTGTGTGTATGTGTGTGTGTGTGTGTATGTGTGTGTGTATGTGTGTGTGTGTGTGTGTGTGTGCACACAGATCTTGTCGACCTGTGGCTTGCCCCAACGCTGGATTCATGGCGAAGCTGCTGTCGTACGAACGGGACCTTTACGGCAACAACTCGTACATCCCACAGCAACTCAAAAAGGCCAAGCCGGATCCCGTCATGTGCCCGGTGTGCGGCGCGGCGGTAGGCATCAGTTCCGCCAGCCTTGCCGTACATCTCAAGAGAGCGCATCCGCTCCAACAAGATGCCGCCAGCGGTGGCAGTTCCGCGGCGCCGCTAGGGGCCTTCGGTGCTGCCTCTGCCGCCGCCGGCGGCGATGTACCGCATTCGCATGTACGACTGGGAACAGGCACGCGGCAGGCGGCGGCGTCTGGGTTGAGGCGCGTGGGCAGTGATGATACGACGGCGCCGCCGCCGTCAGTGCGAGAACAGGACGAGCAGCTGCTGCTGCGGCAGCGGTGTCGTGACGTTGGCGGCGGGGCGAGGGGCCCTGATGAATGGGACACGATAGCACCTGAGGCCGATGAGCAGGTTGCGGGTACGGTAATTGTGGCGGCGGTGGCGGCGGCGGAGGGGGGGGCAAAGGGCGATAAGAAGGACGGTCACCTTCATCTGGTTCCGGAGCACCCCCCCTTGCCAGGGCACCAGGCGGGGGCCTCAGTGCAAAGGGGGGGGGTAAGGGGGGAGTATGGGGGGAGAATCTGAGTCGTTAGCGTGCGTGTGTTCACCCGCTAGCGGGGTGTGACGTGTGGGTTTGTAGTACACAATGAGACGCACCACAGGTTGCCTGTTATACCTTCGTCGTGCATGTGCGCGTCTTGTCGCCGTGTGTGTGTATGTATGTATGTATGTATGTATGTATGTATGTATGTATGTATGTATGTATGTATGACTTATGTATGTATGTATGTATGTATGAGAGAGGGAGGGAAGGAGAGGGAGAGGTGGAGCATGCATATATATGTGTGTGTGTGTGTGCAGCTTGGTGAGCTCTAATGATCTGGGCCGCGACGGGGGAACTGGCGATGGTAGTACAGATGTACGAGTGCACTCACTTACAAATAGTTTAAAGCTAACCGGGTGTGTGTGTGTGTGTGTGTGTGTGTGTGTGTGTGTGTGTGTGTGTGTGTGTGTGAGAGAGGTGCGTGCGGGTGTTGCGGATTGCGTCATCCTGTATGTTTGTACTTTGTGCGAAAATAGTTATAGGGAGAGGAAGTGAGAAGAGTGTCGACTTGTTGCGTGTTGCAATTTTTTGTTCGTTGATTCTCCCCTCGGAAGAACTTTGTGAAAGGCGCTTGTTGTTTCGGGGGCTGTTGTGTGCGTGGCGGCGCATGTGTGCGCTCGGTGTAGGTCGGAGTCGGGCCCCCGCTCTGTTCTCTTTGATACGTTTGATACACTCTTGCCCTGGCAGCAGCTTCAATCGTGTGTGGTTCGTCTTTCCCCCCTCTGTTCTCTTCTGCTGCCGCTGCCGTGTGTGCAGCATCAGAGTACCCTTTTGCTTCGGCGGCTCTCATCTTATAGCCCGCGCTACAGCTTGGTTGGGGCGAGGCTTCCAATCTTAGCTTGTTTGCTTGTATGTATGTGTGCACCCCTGAAAGTTTCAAGCTCCGGGACTCACGGACAGGGATTCAGCTTCCAGTGTCCACTCCTTCGCCGAAGTGCATGCGACAACAATCTCAAAACTTTTACTAGAGAGATACTTTAACAACAAGTTGTACAGCAGACTCATTTTTGGGCGGGGCCCCAGCGCGAAGCGCCCAGGGGGGCCCCGACCTGTAGGATTGCCTATGTCCGTGTGTGTGTGTGTGTGTGTGTGTGTGTGTGTGTGTGTGTGTGTGTGTGTGTGTTCGTGTGTGTGTAACGGACCAAACATAATATCTCGCCCGGCTGAAACGCGTTATAGGTACTATACAGCATTCTCTATTGCAAGGTATCTCGCATGTAGCCAACAAAAGTCGTATGAGCACAAACAAGTTTGGCTGCCTCCATTCACCGACCTCAAAAGTCACATCAACGCCTCTCGGGCTACATTTAATCTCAAAAGGTACCGCGTATCTCATAATTGAATTCTGAGATGACAGCGTATGATAATTTGAACACCCAGCTTGTTGCCCGCACGGGCATTCCGACTTGCCACCAGCAGGCCGACAAATTTGCTTACATTTCTCTATGAAATACGCAAGCTGCTCATTTGTACATTTCCTTAACCAATGCTCGGGGCCTCCGGAGACTTGCGGTGTGCCCCGATGAAGCTCTCGGCTGTGGGGCGGATTGCTGAGGCCGCTGGCGCATCGGGGATAAACATCACAGACAGCACCGAAATACACCCAGCTTTCGTTACCATTTGCCCGCATGGGCATTCCGACTTGCGGTCTGCCGCAGTGTCCATGCGGCATGCACCCGGGATGGATGCGATTCGCGTGGAGCCCGCAGGCGTTGCTGACGATTCCACCGATGCAAGCTTAGCTCCCACACCATCAGCACTGCTGCAACAAAGCACATCTCCCACCGCGTTGACACTACCCATCAATTGTCACACGTGCCGCACTAGCTACCGGCCTGTACGGATGCAGGGGGCCCCGCCCTTTTTCCGGCTTCGAGGAAGCCGACACCCGACTTGTCACAGCTGGCTCAGGGTACAGGGGGATCTAACAGGGGGCTCTCGGCCGCGCGGCGGCAGGTCCTCTCTCTCCCACCAGGGCAGGGGCATAGGCACCACACACGGCAATTCGTATCCGAGGGCTACTTCCCCGCTGACACAGCTTCTCTCGCGGAATTTTCTCCCGCGGCGGTGTCATAGGATATCTTTCTGGGGGCTGCAAAGGGAAAGGAAACTCAATCTACAAGAAATTTGCAAGACTTTGCCTAGGGTAGCGCTTTTGCTGTACTAAGACGACATGAGTAAGAGGTCTAGCGGGTCTGGGCTCGCATCCCCGAGAAGCGAGAATATCCCACGTACTGGGTTCTCAAACCTTACAAAGAGGGAGCGCTTCATGTCGTCGCTGGGTGTTTCCAAGAACTTTCCCTATTGTTTCAATTGGATGAGCGGCGCGGACTCCCCAAGAGTTCAAGGACTCGATGCCGATACACTGAAGTTCATTTTGGAGTTCCTCAGCGCGCCCATCACTCTATTTCTGAAAATTGTTCTACACCCATCCAATCGGGAGTTCCCCCGCTATCTCCTGTTCTACTCGATCCTGTCCCA